TTATAAAGTGTTGTGTTGTTAAAATTTCGTACATTTGTCAAAGGATTTTGATATGGAAAGTATGTATGTGTCCAAGTTTAAAGGTAAGAGACAAAACGCGATTTTCTTCATTTCTCAGTTTTTCCTAATTTCTTTCACTTTATTCACTCTTTTTCACGCCAATCTCAATACAGAACGTTAATGAACTTTAAACCATACATTTTCACCGTGGTGTATTTTGAGCGCCAATGCCCTCTATGATCTGAAAATCATAAATTACACAGAATAAGGGTCAAATTTATTACGTCACATTTACTTCGCACATAATTCAGCCTGTTTCTACTTCAAAACCCACAGTACTTCTTAAATTAATGACAATTGAAGAAATAAAAATAACATGGAACTAAATGTTTTCAAGAATGAATCTTAAAAGACCATATATCCATTAGGTAGTGTATTAGAATCATTACATAACTCATTAAGGTTTATGATCCCTAAACCCCAGAAACCAAAATCAGTCCACATAGTAAATAGAAATAAATGATTTCTCTGTCTATTTATTCTGTCTTCAACGTATAATATATCATTCTGCTGATATTTTCACCTCCCTCAAGTCTCAGAATAATATATATCTAGTAAAAATGAGAAATTCACTCATTTCCATTCAAAACTCTCAATATGAAAGGCGACAGAAAACGAAGAAGTTCACATTTTTGACCTGGTTATGTAAAGAAAGTTAGTGAGGTGACACAAACTGACTACGACTATGAATGATCTTCCATCTACCTCTGCAATGTATAAAGACCAAGAATTGAGCTATGTGAATATTGAAATAGACTCTCCAGGTAGTCACAGGGTTTTACGACCAAGGCCTGAGGTTGGGGTGTCCAGATTTAGATTTTGTCATTGAAAGGTCAAAAAGTCTTTTTTTGTTTATCCAGACTGTACATACATGGACATTTATGATTGGTTAAAACAAGAACATAATGATATGATCAAGAATACATGATAATTCATTAAAAACATCAATTAATCAAATAATTTTCTCAGTTTGTCACAAAATAATAAGGAAACCCATCTTTAATATCAGCATCAAATATCTTAAATGCAGTTTTAAATGTTGTTTTATGCTAATTTGTGATGTCATAATCTATTTTTAGCTTTAGTATACCCATTTCATGCCTTGATATCATAGACAACAATATTGTCATCAAATTCACCTTTCAACTGCCATAATTTAGTCATGATATTTCTATAAATCACAATATACATCTCTGTTTTTTTTATCCCAAAAAGTGTTTTTCACC